CCCCCCCCAAGACACAAAAACCGAACCCTTTGTTCGTTTGGGGGGCTGCACACCCCCCGTACATGTAAGCAAGGATGGCTCAGCTGAGACTGCACAAACCTACTCTTTGTAGCAAGCCGTCGAACGCGGCACTAAGGTGTGGATTTGATTTTAGCGGCAAACCCACACACCCCCCCTCCTCTCTCTCTTCCGTTCCCTTGACGGTACGTGTGGATGTGGATGTGGATGTGGATATGTGTGGGTTATGCCTTTCCGTCCCTGAATTCCCACTTGTCGTTACCTCCACCGCTGCCGCACGCCGCCCGAGGACTCCCGACCGTGGCGTTGAAAGGCTTGGAAGTATGTACTTACAGTAAGCAGACGGACAGAAAGAGTGGCTTGCGGCTGTTGTTCCTTTCCCATCTGCGGGGCCTCAGAAACGGGAGGGAGGGGAGTCAAAGGGACCCGGAATTACTTGGTTTGAACTACATGACATGCCATCCCGAGACTCGACTTTCTGCTGGTGATGCGCGGGGGGGGGGGGAGGCAAGTAACCTCGGCCAAGGGGCTTACGTCAACAGGTACGGCACACGTGACGGCGACAAGGGGGGTAGGGGGGGACCATGACTACTACGATACAGCGTCCAAGCAAAAGGGCTTTGGGATACATGTCGACATCATGCCATCGTCGATGCCATCTAGTGTGTATGGTAGTCATGAAGTGGCGTCTGTCTCCCTCCACTCTCCTTCTCTCTTCCGCCCACCCCCCCTGTCTGGGGCTCCGCGCTTTCGTATCCAGTTTCCCAAGGGCTTGGTTGGAAAGATACGTCGGATCTTCCGATCTCCATGGATCCTGTACTACACACACCTACATACCTAGCTACGTAGTTAGTCAACGCATGGGGCTGCACACGTGGGCTTGCCATGTAATGGCCCAACACAAGGCGCTCGTGCACCACGACGATTCTTGTTGACTACCACCACAAAACGAAAGAGAGAGAAAAAAAAAGCGTCCACCGCCTCCCCCAAACCATGTACACTGGCCAAAAAAGTCAAAATGCAACACTACGTACCACTAGGCAGCGTGACATTTTGTTTTTTTGTGTTCTAGCGATGGGCTTAACTAGCTAGGGGGTTTTTGTTCCATCGACGATGCACCTCGTGGCTGTTGCCGTTGACTTAACTCGGAAACGGGAGGAAGACCAGTCGATCTGCTGCTGGGCTACTTTTTAGCACGAACACATTACACCGCCACAAGACTTGTCCCCCCGGGCCCCCCAAATCCATGCAGTCAACCAAAAGGCGCCCGTTTCGGGGTGCACCTGCATGTGCTTTTGCTTTTTCTTTCTCGTACGCGGCTAGAAGACGGTGGCAATGAGAAAAAAACAAAGAGAGAAAAGAGAAAGAAAATGCTGCTCGGGTCGGTAAGAGGTGGAGCCGGAGGAAGAGGGGGGGGGGTGAATGCTTATGCAAAGCCGGGCTTTTGAGCGGAGCCGGGTGGCCTCAGGCAACGAGAATTGCAAGACAAGAAGAATTACAGTTTTCACCTGCACCTGTAGCCCAACACCCGCCAGTGGTACCCAAGTATCTAGGGCCGCTACTATTCAACTAGGTGTAGGGAGAGGGAGAGGAGTTTCCCGTGGCCGGTTGCATGTCCTAGGCCCAATCCATCGACTCCACAGCCGCTGGGTGCATTCCTTCCCGCTGTTGCAGAGGGCGGACAAGCCCTCCATCTCCCCATGCTGTAGGACAGAGACGCACCCCCTCATCAAATAAAAAAGTGATACCCATCTGTGCCTGGCATGACTCCGCTATGCCTGTTTGGGAGTATCACTTTTTTTCTGATGAGGGGGTGCATGTCTGCCGATCACACGCTGCAACTGTTCGTTCGCCTCAACGAAGATGCTCGGGCCTAGAAGAGTTCGTCATCGTTACTTTTTTTTTGCATGGGGAAAACAGGAGGGCGTCTGGGGATTACCAGAAAGAGCTGGATGGGATAGGCACGCGACTACAGGATCCCAGCTGTGTATCCTATCATATCCTATTGACGTCCATCCGCCACGCTGCTCGCTTCGGTCCTTCATCGCGGAGCAAGTCGAATAAGACACTGCATCACTGGCCGTAAAACCGACATGTATACTCGGCTTTTTTTCGTATTCGCTCAACGAGGCCCTTGCTTACATGCTCCGCAACTGTCGGTGACACAGGTGCACGTCGGAGTCTGCTGGTCCCTTATTGGCGGATCGGGTGCCTTGTTGGTACCGCGCCGTGTGTGCTACAACAATCGACTTTGTGGTCAAGGATACATGAAACTCTGTATCGTGTCCGGTCAGACAGGTGTTGCTTTTCGGATCCCCAGCGTCGACGACGGTGATGAGACGCGGGCGAAGAAAGAAAAAGCGGCGTGGTGGTGGGAGTGGTGTCGTGTGTGCGATGGCATATGTAAGTGGGTGTGGAACCCCCAGGGCACATGGATTGTAAATCTGCTGGACCGTTTTTTTTTGAGAAAACATGGTCGTATCTGCAATGGCTCTTCCGAGTATGCTGTTGCTGTTGTACGTGGTTGTTGGCCTTGTTGCAGCAAAGGTGCTGGAGTCTCAATCAACCCTTGTACAAAAACCTCACTTACAAACCCCAGATCCTCTACACAGGCCTGACATGCCCGACCAAACACCTCCCAGGGCCCTGGTACACACGATTCACGCACTACCGGCTCAAACGTGCCGTGATAACCGGTCAACGCATCTTCTACATCGACTCGCTGCACAAGCGCTACGGTCCCATTGTGCGGCTCTCCCCGACTGAAGTCGGAGTCGCCGACCTCGACGCCTTCAAGGAGATCCACAAGATAGGCACAAAGTACCTCAAGAGCGAATGGTACCTCCGGCTTGCCAACTTCCCCAAGGCCGGCGTCTTCACCATGCTGGATCCCCGCGAGCATGGCCCCCGTAGAAAGCTGCTATCGAGATCCTTCAGCCGCTCCTATCTCTTGCAGTACTGGGAGCCCGTTGTGAAGGAAAAGGCGCGGCTGGCAGCCCAGAAAATCAAGGCCGATGCCATGCAGGGCTCCGCAGACGTGTACAACTGGTGGATGCTGCTCGCCTCGGACGTGAGCGCGCATCTGGCCTTTGGCGACTCATTTGGCATGCTGGAAACCGGACATGTAAGGCCTCTATTCACAGCGACTCTGCGCGAAGACAAGACTAAAAAAAAACACAAACACACACAGACGAACCAATTCATGCGGGTACTGAAGAAACTCACCATGGGCGCAGGCATCATGGTGGAGCTCCCCTTTCTGCGTATCCTGCGCTTCGTGCCCATCACAGCGGTCCAGGAAATGTTCAACGCAAACGACTTTATTCTGCAGGGCGCCAGCAAAGCCGTCGAAACCGCGCGTTCGCGCACGGGTGAAAACAACATCTTCGCCAAGGTCATCGAGGACTGCGAGAAGGAAGGCGACGGCCACATTGACGACATGGACGTCCGCATCGAAGCCATGAACGTCATCATCGCGGGCACCGACACCACGGGCGTCACACTCACATATCTGACCTGGGCCGTCCTGCAGCGCCCCCAGCTGCAAGCCGCGCTCGAAGCCGAAGTCGCGGCTCTAAACGACCATTTCACCGAAAACGACCTCATCGCCCTCCCCCTGCTCAACGCGGTCATCGAGGAAACACTCAGACTCTACGGCGCGGCCCCAAGTAGTCTCCCGCGCGTCGTGCCTCCGGGCGGCGCTTCCTTTGCAGGCCACCACATCCCACAGGGCGTAACCGTCGATACGCAGGCGTACACGCTCCATCGTGATGCTAGCATCTGGAGCGATCCGTTGACGTAAGTACAGTAGTCTGGGTCCAAAACCCAACATTGATATACTTACGATAACTAACACTTTTCACCACCACCTCCAGCTTCAATCCCAACCGCTGGATCGCATCTCCCAATGAAGGCATCGCAGAAGCACATTCTCCCGCTGCGAAACTGGCTTTCCACCCCTTTGGCGCTGGCGCCCGCTCCTGCATCGGCATCCATCTCGCGCGCATGGAGCTGCGGTATGCATGTGCCTTTATGTTTCGCGAGTGTGCGGGCGTGCGGCTGGCGCAGAGTACCACGCCCCAGAGTATGGAGTTTGAGGTACGTTCTTTCTTTCTTTCTTTCTTTCTTTCTTTCTTTCTTTCTTTCTTTTGGTGGATGGAGCTGGAGTGCGAGTTGGGAAGTGAGCAATAGTCTTGCTGGTCTTGACACAAGGCGGATGGATGGATAAATGTGCTAATCAACTATGTGTGATACTCAGAATTTCTTCCTCATTGCGCCAAAAGCGCATCGCTGCGAGATTACGCTGAAACAGGACGACTGAATCGCTAACGTTGAGACATGTCGATTGTGGTTGCGTTGAACCAATGAGACACTGTTCTGAAAAACCCTGTTACTTATCTTGATTGCTTTTTTTTCTCTCTTTCCTTTTGGAACTCATCATTGGGGGGTGAGCTCGGAGCTGAGCGGTAGATGCAAAGAAAGAAAGAGAGATGATGGAAAAATGTGCAATCTGAGACTTTGACGCAGGGGGGGAAGAAAAGGGTGTGTGTTTTGAACGAGCACAAGAGAAGTGGGTAAGTTGGATGGTGATGGTTTGTGGCTCGGGGGTTTAGAATACGGTGTAGCACTTAGTACATGAGTTTTCTACCAATCAAAGCGTTCAAGTCGAGAACACCCCAGACGCAGTAATGCATCATCATCATCACCATCGTCATCATGGCTCAGCTTTGAAATAACCCCCCATGCCTGAGATTTCACTAGTCAAGATCAACCTAACGATTCACATCACTAGCACACAGATACAATCAGTCAATCAAGCACACAGCACTCAAGCACATCATCCGAGAACATGAAATTTAAAAAAAAACAGGCACATAGATAGATGCAACCCGACAACTACCAGCCATTACAATCATGAGTTTCGTACAAAACCAGAAAAAGCGCGCCCCCCCCCTTCCCTCGCGCAATACAACAACAAGTTTAATCCAGGTATATATATATCCGTGGTATCATCACTCTAGACAGACAGCAACATGCACCCATCACATGATGTGCATGCAAATACATTTTGAATTTCACCGCCACTTACAAAAAGTACATGGCAGCGGCGCCACCAAGGAGAGCACCAAGGCCCACAGCGCCGGTAGGCTTGGCGGCGGCAGCGTTGCGGGTAGCCTGAGGGCCACCAGATGGGCTGGGGGAGCTGCCGGCAGCGCCGCCTGGACCACCGCCAATGGGGGAGCTGGGCTGGGGCTGGCCAGAAGTGAATGGAGCGTTTGAAGCGGGGGTGGCGCCGCCAAAGGCTGGTTCGCCTTCTGGGGCTGAGGCGTTGTTGGGGTTGAGGACTTCGCTGATGACGTGGACGACGCCGTTGGAGACGAGGACGTCGGCGAAGACGACTTGGGCGTTGTTGACGTAGATGCCGTCGTTGTCGACGAAGACGGTGACGTTGGCGCCGTTCAGAGTAGTCAGAGAAGTGCCGTTGCGGAGCTTGGTCGAGTAGCCTACGGGGCCGGCAACAACGTGGTACGACAGGATCTTGGTGATGTCGGCGATGGAGGCGTTGGCGAGGACAGAGCCAATGTCCTGGAATGCCTGGTTGGTGGGAGCGAAGATGGTCAGGTCAGGAGTGGTGTTGGCGGTTTCGACTAGGTTGGCGCCGACCAGAGCGCCACGGAGAGAAGTAAGGTTGGCTGAAGTGAGGACATTGGATGGCGCCTCGGGGATGGTCAAGAAGTTGTCGATGATGTGAATGACACCGCCAGTGAAGTTGACGTTCTGAATTGTTAGTAGGCTAGTAGAGAAGCAGTCGAGTGCAAGTACTTACAGCGGTAGTAACAGTCGAGTTCATGTTGTTTCCACTGAAGAACATGACCTTGTTGTCCCTGGACGTGGCGTGAACGACTTGGCCGCCGGTGACATTGGTGTATGTCGTGTTAGTCAGAAGTGTGGGCACAAAAGCACCAGTAGATGGGATAGCAGAAGCCGGGTACGATCCATTGAGGACATGGTACTGGAGAAGAGCAACCAAAAGGCCTGGGTCGGCAGTAAGCGAAGCCAGAGTCTGTTGGCTGACTTTTGCAAAGGCCGCATTCGAGGGCGCCAGGATGGTAATGTTTCTGGCGCTGTCCAGAAACTGCAGGATGGTCGGGGGGACGAGTCCCTTGAGCATAGAGAGATCCTGCGTAGCATTGAGAGCAGCCGAAAGGGAAGGCTCTTGAGCAAGCGCAAGGCCCGCGAGGGCGGTGATGGAGAGGTGCTTGAGCATGGTGACTGGCGCCGAGCGTGAAGCAGAGAAGATGTCTGGAGTGGATTGTTGCTGGTGAGATGCTTTCGGCGGACGGGGGAATTCCAGCAATAAGTACTACCATAACATACTACATAGCCACAGACGACTCTGCCGTCTTGTCGTTAGTCAGTCGCCATCTCGAACCGACGCCACCGGCGACTTCTCCCCACGACCCATGGCGACCCTTGGGCCGACAAATGCAGCATAGTCGTCGCCATGGCGAGGCGTGCGCCTGGCAGTGCCGCTCGGCAAGCACCAGTGATATCATGATTTGGGTGCCGAGTCAGCACCCAAGTGGAACCATGACACGTTGAGACAGCATACTTTGAGCATGGCGGCGGTTCGAAGCGTCTAGTATCCCCGGATTGTTCTGCATGGGCTGTCGAGCATTGTTAAGACTGCACGGCGCATCCCATCCAAGGCCTTCTCTTTCTCGTCATCTTTTCATCTCACGGCGGCAGCCCAGCCGTGCCATTCTCCAAGGACTGCTCCGGTACCGGGCGAGGCCGGGCGCTGGAGGAGACGGGTCAGCCAGGGCGGATGGACTGCAAAAGGCCGGTATGTGAGCAGGCGAGGGTGAATGTGCAAGTCGAGGTTGTGCATGTGTCAGTCGATCTAGCTTGTGTGGGGTGACCAGGGCCTAGGGCTTGGCATACGACACCATGGCCCAATCTGTCCTTGACTGCCACTCTCCACCATACGATGCGCGTATCGAGCGTACCGGCAGCAGATCGAGCCCGTCTGCACGGCGCAGCACGAGGGCTTGCGCGTCCACATGGGGCGTCTTGGTAAGGCTGGAGCTACCTGGCCGTTGGGTCTGGCTCCCCTGTACATCTCCGCTTCCAGCATCGTCGACCAGCGGCACCATGTCGCCTTCACAGCCGTCTTCACCTCTGCCCTGGGCTCTACATGTACACACCAGCTCCGTGTTGCTGCCGTGCCGACTCAGCGGCGGTGAATGATATGAATTGGCCCGTCTGCTCGCATTTTTCCGCGTCCCGCAAAGCACCGCCGTCTGCTCAGCCGCCACCATGGCGGCCTTCTTTCACCACCCATCTACCCACGTCCTGGTGGATCTCTCCGGCAAAATTTCGCCGTGACCGCTTCTTCCCTCCCCTCTGGACGCCTAACAATACACTCCCAAGACGCCGGACTGCAACGACAATACTGCTCGCGCATCCAGTGTGTGTGGCAGCAAACCAGTCTTCGTCACTCATTTGTAAGCGACACGCCGCTGTGTACGTGTATGTACCCTCGCGTAGCACACCCACCCTTGTTGCATTTGTCCCGAGAATCGACGTGTGCCCCCAATATGCGTTGCCTCAGTCAGGTACCATGATATGGCTGTTCGTTGCCCGTTCTAGGCGTAGTGGCTAGTTTTTTCTGCCGTCCGAGTAAGCTTACGGTTACAAAGCAGAAAAAAAAAATTAACATGGGGTGAGGCAGGGTATCGTGGCTTGCATCATTTTGGCTAGGCATCGCGGGCTGTGCTGCTACGTCTGCCATGTACTGTGCACTTGGGTGTCTGGAATCACAGCTTCGATATTAACTGCGTGACGTGCGGATTTGATGGTGGGAATGCAAAAGATCAGAATGGTACAAAGGTGGTGACATGGATGTATACCGCTCATCGCCCAGCGATCCCGTCATCTTAGTGCTGCTTCCGCTGGCTAATAGCCATGCGCTCTCCAAGACTACGGCTCCTGTCACGCACGACGGACGCACTTCCGGTGTCTCAGGACCGTCCTGAGTTCCCGTCGACATAACCAGGCAGACCCCCGAACGCATGTTGCATAGAAGCCAGACTCTTACAGCACAAAAGTAGTGCATTTCGCGCAGCTCTCCCTTCCTCATTCCAAGCACCATACTCCAAGCTCGTCATCATAAGTCGTAGGCGTAAAACAAACAAGCATCCCCCCCGTCTCTAACTCCTGCCCCTCAACATCCTCCCCCAGCTCGCCCCCAGCCCCCTCGTCTCCTTACCCCGACTCTTCCTCGTCGGACTCTCAATCCTCGTCTCGCCCTTGACCAGCACCTCTACCGGCGACCGCTCGCGCCGCTTCCTCCTACCAGCCGCATCTTTGGGCTCTGGGCTACCCGCCGAGTTGAGCGTGTCGCTCCGTTTTCTGAATCTGCGGTTCGGACTCGAGGCTTGTTGTGGTGTTTGTGACTGTGACTGTGACGACGATGATTTCTGTCTCTGCGCCGTTTTCTTTGCTGTAGTAGCAGTTGCTGTAGAGGGCGATCGTTTTCTCCTTGGTCTTTCTCCCTCTTCTACTTCTGCTTCTACGTCTACCTGTTGATGCGGCCCGAGTACAGGACGGGTATCCGGTACAGGACGGGTATCCGGTACAGGACGAGCATCAGGTACAGTATGAGCATCAGGTACAGGCCGAGTATCAGCGTGATGCATGACTTCGCTCTTGCGCGTCATGGCTGGACTCGGCGTGCGTAGTCTCATTGTCGACTCCATCTCCATTTCTCTCTCTACGATCCTGCTTTTCCGAGCCATATCCTCCAGCTCCTGCAGCGATACTTTGCGCATCTCCGGTGCTGCCGCAGCCACAGGCCGAGCGCGTTTCGCCGCTTCACTATGCATTCGCTCCGCTGCTGCTGCTTCAACACGCTGTGCGCGCCGCGCTTCCGCATACGCATCTAGTATCTTTTCAATATGCTTTCTATGTGCATCTGTGCTAGCTAGCCGCGCGACTTCGAGGACGAGCAGGAAGGTGAGAATGTAGCCTATGAAGAAGGCGGTGCGGCTCCAAAAGTCCGAGCTGAGCAGGAAAGAAAAGAGTTTGAGTGTGCTGAGCAACATATTTGGCGGCGTTGCTGCCGGAGTTTCCGGAGTTGAGTGCATGGAGGAGGAGAAGTCTTCGTGGTAATTGCGGTGGCGTGTAATCTTGGGTGTGTCGGACGCAAGACAGCGATAAGGGAATGTAGGGATCAAGGTAGGTAGGAAGTGGACACGTACAATCCCCAACAGAAATGCGTATTGGTTGGATTGACTGGCTGGCTGATGGATTGACGGGTAGGATGCGGAAGGATTGTTTGAAGGGTTGGAAATAGAGGGGGGGGGGGTTCGGTCTGGGATCTGGGGTTTGGGGTTTGAGATTCCCCCGCTTCCTCTCTCTCTCTCACACATGCTTCCTTTCTTTCTCCCTATCTTCCTATCTTTCTCTCTCTCTCTGTGTGTGTCTCTCTCTCGCTTTCTTTCTTCTTCAGGTTCGACAATCCCATCTCCCTTACTCTGCGCAAACTTCCCGCACACGCTATTTTCTCTTCTTCCCCGCCCCATCGTCCGAAATATCCTGGCGATTCCGGGATTGATGCGGTGATTTGGACACTTCTACTAGTGTCTGTAAGCTGGACTTACTACCATCTATCGGCTTATCTTTTGATTATTATCTTTTGCCTTTGCTTCTTGCTGGTTTGGGATACGGGACAGGGGACGAGGGCACGCGCGCGCTGGTCGCAGGTAAGGTTCAAGAAGGAGGGTGTGTTTTTCTTCTTCGCAGTGAGAAAAAAAAAGACGAGATACTTGCGACTGCTGGTTTTTCGAGGGAGTCCTGGGTATACTTACAGGTCCAGGGTCCCCTGGCACAAGACATGAAGGAACGACCATGACCATGACGTGACAAAGTGACATTTTAACCATCCATGTGTCCCGCTCAGCTGTATATTCACATCCATACGCTCCATGCTACATGCTACATTTCCAGTCCAGTCCAGATAAGCCCATGTGCAGACTCGCAAAAGGGAAATTACACAGGGGGGAGATGGGCATCAGGCGAAACAAGTACAAGTATCTGAAACATCGTGTCCCGCGCATAGATTTACTTACTTACCCCTCACAGACAGACCACACAAACATACAGACATGACCTACGCTACACTACTCAGCTTCGCCTCGCCTCCTCACTTGTACTTGTAACTTCTGGACTCGTAGTTGGGGGATTACACATGTATGCAAGTCAAGTAAGCAAGCAGGTAAGCAAGTAAGCAAAAGCCGTGTAACCAAACCAAACCAAACCAAACCAAATCAAGGCCGTAAATACCCACAAGTACTTACTTACATGCCATCCCACGACACGGCATGCAAATTCCCGCCAAACGACTACTTACAGTAAGAATCACCTACTTACAGTCGGATATACACATCTATGCGTGGTATTCTCAAACTGGTTTTTTTTTCCCCATACCTACATTGTCTTGGCGCTGGCCCAGCACCACGCCATGTATGATGTATGATGTAATATACAAGTAGCTCGGGGGAATGAGGTGTGGGATATACAATATGTATAGATAGATAGTTAGATAGATAGATAGAGATAGATAAATAAACCAAGCGCTAATTTCAGTGGGTGGACAAGGACGAGGGAGGGGGGGGGATGGCACATGTCAGATTTTGTTTCTTTCTTTCTCGTTATTCAGCGTGTTTCACGTCACGTCACGTCACGTCACGTCATGTTACATGTTTGAGGGGCACGAGGGCACGAGGGGGTGAGAAAAGGAAGCGCGCGCTTACGTAGACGAGATAAACACACACACACACCACATATACATATACACACACATATACATATACACACACATATACATATACACACACACACACACACACACACAAGAGAGAGAGAGAGAATATGTACATATCATACATGCACTATACAAACATGCAAAACACAGCAAGTCCTCTCTCATAATTGCTTCCATCTTGTTTTTGTTTTTTTGCGTCTGCATCTGCATCTGCTCAAGGCCTATGCAAATACGCCAGAAAAAAAAGGGGGGGGGGGCGTAGTAATACATACATAACATGATTGTGGTTGTGATGCAACTCGCGCAGAGCAAAGCAAAGCAAAAGATAAGTACGCCCGTCTCCGAAAAAACTCCAATCCAGAATCGCTAAATGAGGGAGGGAAAAAGAAACGCCGCGCTCATCAAATGCAGCAAAAATGCAACAATGCAACAATGTTCCAAAAAAAAAACAGTCCAAAAACAAGCTTTACCGCCCTCGAGGCAGAATTTCATCATTGAACATGCTCGCGTCCCAAGTCCTTTCTTCCATAATCTTAGCAGCTTCTTCGCTAACCCAATGGCTCTCGCCAACGCCCGCACTTCGCATGCTGTAGCCAGCAGCGTAATTCACACCATATGTTTGGCCAAACAAACAGGTCCATATTGTGGCGCCGATCCAGGAGAAAAAGGTCGAGATGGGGAGCCACCAGTCGCGGATCAGGGTGCGGTAGATGAGGGTAGGAATGACATAGGGATACTTGGGCGCATTTGGATTCACGCTGAACGGATAGGGATACGAGTAGGCATACAGGGGCCGGCAGTACATCTCACTACACAGCAGTTAGTAACAGCATCTCCAAGACGACAACGAGAAACTTACCAGGCAATCTCTTCACTTACTAACCAAGCCAAGAAGAAGATGAGAAAGATGCTTAGGCCTGTTAGTCCGCCCCAGACCTTCCATCGACTGTCGGATTTCTGCCGCAACGTTTTTAGTCGCTGTTCCCAGAACAGGCTCTTCCACCATCTCCACATGGAAAACGTGTGCACGTGATCACTTGTGCATAGACATGTTCGCGTCGTCACCTTTATTTTTTCGCCAGCCTCACCTTCCTCAACATGCTCAACCTGGTCCTCGACACGCTTCATGCCCCGGCTTGCGTCACGGATGCTGGTGCGCGCAGCACGGAGGCGGTCATTCATGCGGTGCAGATGGACAAGCTCTTGTTGTCTCTGACGTTCTGCATCGTTGCGGGGAGCATCCGTTGGAACTTGAAGACCCTGAAGCGTGTCGTCCATTGCGATTTCAGTCAATGGGGTGATGAGCTCTTCGAGCGAGTTGATGGTAGAGTCGCCAAAGTCTGTTGACGACTCCTTGCGGTGAGCCTTTGCTTCTTCGACGAGGGCTTGCAGTGCAGACCTGGGCAGTTGAGGGCGAATTGGCTCTATCGTCGCCTTTGCCGGTGCTTCTTGGCCAGACTCGGGGGGTCTTTCAGGCGATTTGTCCTTGCTCATACTACTTTTCCTGGAGGACCGCGACTGCGAACGCGAACGGTCTCTCTCTGTGGAGATAGATGAAGACCTTTGGGCGGTGCGTGGGCCTGGTGTGTCAACCCAAGCGCCAGTCACCACTGGAGTCTTGGGGTTCAGTATTCGCTGTGCAGGCATTGGCGTTGCATCACCGCCCTTGGCCTCAGCCTCTGTCTCTGTTGGTGGCTCTGGTGCTTGTTCAGGCTTGTGGGGTGCTTCTGATGCCTCTGGAACGGGTGCCATGGGCTCAGCATCCGCGGTAGGTACAGATGCGTTGTCCCCCGCATCCTGTGCGTCCTCTTGTCGCGAGGATGCCGTACGCACAGTTGCCGTCTCCGATGCACCGTCCAGCGGCCCAGGAGGCGTCGTCTGTGGCCGTGCTGGACTCGGTGTGTTGGAGGCTCTCGCGAGCCGACGCAGCAGGTCCTGCGAGTCTTTCCGCCGATGGGGAACTCGTTTTGGCTGGCTTTTTTCAACGGTAGCAATGACCTGGCGGTCTACTGTAGCTATGCTCTCCGTGCTCTTGTACATGGCAGCGGGCATGCGTTCCTTGGTCACGCCCAGGACCGGCTGTGATTTGCTCATCGACTGCCACGACTGTTTGCGCGAGCGCAGCTTGTTCTGGGGCGGCGGCGACTCTTGCAGGGCGGGAGCGAGTTTTGGAGGGGCTGCGTGTGCATTTTCGGCAGCCTGCGTGAAGGATGAGCGCCTGGATGCGTGGTCGGGCTCGCTGCCCCGAGTCGTGTCCTGGGCCTGCTCTGTTGCCGTCTCCATCTCACGCTGGCGAATGTCGTCGAGCACGGTGCTTCGCGGTATGTAGGGCGTCGAAGCAATCATGGAAGCCTCGTTGAGCTCAAAGGTCAGGTCCCACTCGTCGGGCGTGGCGGGGCGCGGTGTGCCGTGCATGGACGTCTTATGCGAGAGCGGGCTGTCTTGGACTGAGCGGTGAGGCACGCCCACGTTGTTGTAGAGGCCGTTGGGCGCATCGTCGTCGTCGTCGTCGTCGGCGGCGGCGACGGGCGTGTGCTGCCCGTCGTGGCCGGTGATGGCGCGCATCCAGCTGCGGTTGCTCCTGCTCTTCCTGCCCCACGACGCGGGCGCGTGCATGGAGGGGTCGTTCTGGATGCTCCCGCTGCTGCTGGGCGGGCTCTCGAGCTGGGCGGTTGGCGGGCGCGTGGCCGCCGCCTCGGCACTATTTCTCTCGAGGTTCTCCAGCGTCAGGCCCACGCGCGGGCGGGCGCGGGCTTTGGCAAAGGGCTGGGGGCGGGCCTGGGTGGCGTGGCTCAGCCGTCGCTGGTCGCGCTCGTTGCGTATCATGAGCTTATCAAACTCGTCCTCGGCGTCGTTCTCCAGCGAGCTCAGGCCCGAGACGAGCGACGCAGCGTCGAGCTCGCCGTCGGGATCGCCGTCGCTGGCGTGCATGGTGCCGCGTCCATTGGCGGCCGAGGATGCAGCGGTGGGTCGCTGGACGTGTGCGTCGTGGTAGCGTGACGTGACAGCGTGGGCAGGCGGCGGGGAAGGTGGTTGGAGGGGCTGGCGCGTCGTCATGGCCGGGCGGCGCGAGGCTGGCGCATAACACGGAGGCTTCTGCAGTGGGCGCGGGCGGGCGGGCGTGGCGGATATATGGTGCGAGGGCTCACGACCTAGCTGCTGTGCATCTCGAGGAACTGGAGCGGTAAGCGCACTAGCTTGTCCATGTGTTGTCGCATCGCGCACGCGTCGTGGCTCTGGCCGGCCTGGGCTGGGAACAGGAGCAGGAACGTGCGCCCGCCGCGACAGGATGAGTGACTCGCCGCCCGTCGACTGCACCATCTACACGACGTCCAGATACCAGATACTACCTATCAACATATCCATATACTACATGTACCGGTATGCTCGCTGTCAAATGCTGGCCCTGTGCTGCACACTGACACCTGTCTCACGGCTCCTGGCTGTCAATGGCCTGCAGCCGCCGCCCCACCATCTCGTCGTCGGTATTCCCCTGCTCGTCCCTCCATGCCCGCAGCACTTCCTCCCGCATCACCCGTCGCGGGGCTCGCTTGCCCGTGAAGAGCTCAAACTGCGCAAACGCCTGCTCGGGTATAAAGTCCAGCCCATCCATATACGTCCAAAGCTTGTTGCGCGCAGCCCGCACCTGTCGCATGAGCGGCGTGCTCAGCGTCTTGTACGCCGTCTCCATGACAATGCCCCCCGTGCGGCTTTCCATCCACTGCTCGGGTAGCGTAAACTGCGCCGCCGGACCGCCGTCGATCGAGTCGGTGGGTATGCACGAGATGATGATGGTGGGCTGGCGCAGACTCGCCGGCCATGCGTCTTGGCGCGACCTTAGGATTTTGAAGTCGGGCAAGTTCCGAGGCGTCACCGACGACGCCGTGGCCTTTTCCGACGACGACACAAGACGCGAAAAGTGCGCAATCAGGCTCTCGGCCCGCTCGTACGATCGGTTGAAAATGACAATCTTCCTCAGCCCCATCTGCAGCAGCGCGTACACGGCTGCCCTGGCCATGCCGCCAGCTCCCACAATGAGCCCGCACGACGAAGGCCGTACCGCGTTGGCCGGAGACAGCCCTCGCCGCACGCACGACCGGATCCCAATCCACTCTGTGTTGTCGCCGTAGAGCGCCTGGATCGGCCCCGACTGGTTGCGCTCCTGGAAGAGCTCCAGTTCGCTGGGAACGCTTCCATCGCTGTGGCGCCTGCGCACGGGTATCACCGTGTTGATGGCGCCAATAGCTCGAGCATGCTGGCTCAGCGAGTCCACGAGTGCTATTACCTCCATCTTGAACGGCTGGATCACAATCGAGCCACCAAAGTTGGGCTGCCGCACAAGCTCCTTGAGGCTGTTTAGTGAAGGGCTCTGGATGCGGATGAACTCGTGGGGCATCCCGCACGCCCTGTACGCAACATTGTGCATTGCTGGCGACACGCTGTAGCCCACGCTTTTCCCGATAATGTACATTTGCATCGGGTCGAGCGTGAACGAGCTATACAGCGCCTGCGTCACCTGTCGAGCCGTGACCCGAAACTCATCGCCATGGTTGGTCGTCTCGCCCACCGAGGGGGGCGCAACAGGTGTCAGGTATTTGTTAAAACAGACGGACCGCCGACCGGCTGGTCCTGTATTGTAGCAGATGAGCGGGACCCTGGCCTCGTGCGCTGCCATGCGGGAGCTGAAACTGCGCACCAAAACATCGTCGTCAATCGAGTGGGCCGGTCGGGTGAATCGAACGGCCGAACAGCCAAGACGCACTGCCAGTTCATATTGCACAACCCAGAAATTATCGTCCCACGGCGTATCGGCGTGGACATGTCCAATCATCTTGGTTGTACCTCGAGAAGCCATTACATCGCCAAGCGTGGCGGCATCGAGCGACAAGTCGACACTTGCATATTCGGGCGCCAGCCTCAAGCCATGGCGTACATGCTCCAGATACAGCTTTCGAATAGAGTCTGTAGTCGATGCCGGAACCACGTGGTAGATGATGGGCACTACTGCACTTCTTCGTACCTTGGATATGCACGCGCTGACATGGTCCATGAGACCGCTTACAGGGCCGTGTTGTTGTAAATCAAGCACAATCTCGAAGGCGTCCGACCCCACTTCCAGGTGCTGTATGTCGGCATTGTCAGCCAGTATGTCTTGCAGCGGTACTTGGACGGCACAGGTGTATTCGCGAAACTCGGGTGCTACGTCAGAGAGTGGGTACCCGGGCTCCAACGGCGGAATCGGCGTGCCAACTGAGCCGTCCGGATCATGGGGAGTTGTGATTATCGACAGGAATTTGAGAAACGTTCTTTGGGCTCTTTTCAGCGTGAGGAACGCGGGAGCCACCGGTTGGTCGGCGGAAGTGTCGGGACTGGCGACTTTGGCCTCGGAGACGTTGTAAAACTCGTAGTTGGAGCAGCGGCGAAGCATCGGGGCAGTCAGCGTGAGCATGTCTTTTAGTCTCTGCAGATCCGGCCCTCCTAGATAGCTGTGTACACTGGAAAGGTCGCGGAGCACGTGCACCACGGCATGTGTGCTACCAAAGTCCTGTATCAACGACTGTGCGTTCCTCTCCAACGAGAGCGCGTTGCAGACAATGATGGCGCCATGGTCGTGCTCGTGGAGAATGTTGCGCAGAAGCTCTTCGACGCGCAGATTGTAGTTGGCGGCCCCAAACTGCTTGCGGTACTTTGCCGTCGAGAAGCCCGTCGTCTCTTGAAACACATCTTCCGTGTCGACGACGCGCCTTCGACATGCCATGGAGGCGATGACGGCCAGCGTCGACTTTCCAGTCCCCGGCATGCCGAGCAGCACAATCGAGGCATCCGCCCGGAATGCGCGGCGCCCATGGCCCGCTGAGGCGACGGGAGCAGGCGTGAGCCGAGGTGTGGTGGAGCGAGTGCTGGACATTGTTGAGGCTGCTGCTGGTCAGTATGGGCAACGGCCTGCCGCACAACCGCCTTGTTCTTACAGGTATCGCCTGCGCTGAGCTTGCGCCTTTGGGCACCTATCGTGGGTTCGGGCGTCGCCGCTTCGTGTGCTGTCGTCTGGTCGTCGGCACGGTACAGGCCAGTGGCCCCGCCATCAGCCTCGCCCAGGGACGCAAAAGTCCGCTTGATTCCTACTGCTGGGGAAGCCATACGTAGTACGCATGGTACCATGGGATGCAGAGCAGAGTCGGTCGTCAGTCGTCAATCGTCAGTCGTCAGTCGCTGGGCGTCAGCCTGGCCCGTCTCTACACGGGCTGAAAGGGGGATGACGGTGGCCGTCGAGCAGGTCCATGTCGCCGGGGCGGTGGTGGGCGGAAGATGCTTTTTATTTATCCAAGACGTGATGCGAGGGAGCAGCAGTGGCCGCATGGATGCGCCGGCTAAGACTTCTTCCCCTCACCTGCTCGTCGCCACGCCACGCCCAGCAACACACCTTTGCGCTCCTCTCCCGAGCTGCCCACCCTTTTCCATCCACCTGCAACTCCCCCCGCGCCCCGTGGCCCAGGCCAGCCGTGCGCCTGTCTGCCTTGCTCGCTGCCGGCGCACACGCGAGCCATGCACACGCACTCCGGCCCTCCTCTTTCACCGCAATTGACTGTTTCGTGACCCCATTCTGCCCATCTGCTCGCATCGGGCTCATGCCTGTCCAAGGCCATGCAAAGCGCCCGTCCGCACCTCAGTCCGAAGGGAAACCTGCCAAACGAACCCGAGTGTCGCGGGCATGCGACCAATGCCGCGTTGCGCGTGAGAAGTGTGACGGCCTTCAGCCAACGTGCTCCACCTGCTCCGGAACCACGAGGAAATGCTCTTACACAGCAAACCCCAAGAAACGAGGCATCCAGCCAGGCTACATCCGCGCCCTCGAGCTAGCCCTAGCCTGGCTCTTCCAGCACAATCCAGAGAATGAATCCATGCTCAAGGAAAAGCTGGCAGAGGGAGGCGCCTCGTCATTTCTGCTCAGCCGTGAATCAACCGAGTCGAACAAGCTCCACAGGCGATGGCGCAGGTCGAAATTCTACATGGACGTGGACACACAGCTGTCTGGCGGAGAGCCCTCGAGACATGAGCAAGCTGACGCGCTCGACCCTGCTAGCAGTGACGACGACTCGGATACCAGAGACCCTTTGAATGACAAGCCGGCCCGGAGCCACGGCAGTAGCGTACAGCCAACAGACGCCGCAGCAACGCCAAATGGGCCCGTCTCTATTCCACAGGATAGCTGGAAACTCGTCGAAATCTACTTTGCTAATGTACATTCCTGGTTACCGATTTGCGAGAAGCATGACACGTTGAAATTGGCCTATTCTTACAACCTGCAAGGCCACCCTCTCAACTCGGAGCAATCCGGCTTGGGCTCGCGGGCCGAGCTCTGGAGCATCCTGACAGTGGCATCACTCTATGACACAAACACAAACGAATGGCTGGATCCAACGTCAGCAAGGCCCGTGAAGCTGTACGAAACCTCCAAGTCCATGATACCCAGCGAATCGGGCTGTTTCGACATTGGACATGTCAGGGCTCTTCTGAATCTGGTCGTGTTCAACATGTCCAGGATGCTTACAGCATCAGCCTGGCTACTCGTGGGTCAGGCATCGCGACTTCTCGAGAGTGTGGGGCAGCAGACGCTTATGACCAATTCTAGGCACAAGCATGTCTACTACGGATGCTTCCTGCTCGACAGCATACTGTCGTTCCAGCTCAACCGCCGCCCGCATTTTCGAAAAAGTGATTTGGAACATCTTGGGCCTATTGATGAAGATGGCTTGGAAGAGTGGCAGCCTTGGTCTGGGTTTGATGACCCTTCACATGCCGGCAGTATGACACCGCTGCTCTCACTAAGCACGTTCAACAGCGTCATTGAACTCGTTGATCAACTCGTGAGCCTCCAACAACGGTCTGGACACTACATGTACCAAGAAGAGGCTGTTCAGCGTCTTGGAAGATGGAAAGCGAATTTGCCTACGAAACTGGACACCTTGTTTTCCAGCAACGCCTTTCCACTCCTTGCTCCGCCGACAGTCCTGTTGCAAACAACGTACTACTGCGCTTCTTTTGCCGCCAACCCCTCGGATTCAAGTATGCAACGGTTACTGAATATATTAGAGCAATGCCAAAGGAGCCTTGGTGCCCACCGTCTGCCAGTACCAGTGAAAAGCCTTGTAGTTGCTATCAGCAGGCTTGCCACCCGCGTTAATTTGCACGAAGCGACTCGGAATCAGCTACAAAGGATGAAGATGATTATGACAGGAGCATCGTCTCAGCCGGATGATCAAGATGTGCCACGAGGTCTTGAGAGTTCCATACCCGTCAGAAACGCTTCGATCAGTATGAACCTGTCCACGTCCGAAGCGCTCCCAACAGTAGCCTCCAGTGACCACACGACTCAACCAAGAACAGATTCTGTCAGCACCTTTTTCTCCGCGCCACACTCGACACACGCCCCGCTCATGACCGTGCCTAGCCCTGCGCAATCCGACCCACGATACCCCGAACACACCAGCGACCTGGAAACCTTTTTCGACGAACTGGCGTCCCTCGACAGCGCCACGAGACTGGACAACCAGCCGCAGTTTATGCAAAACCTTGGCTTCGAGCCAGAGGCCAGCATGGCAGATTTATTCAGCGAATACATTCCCTTGCAGTCGTCGACGTTTCTCACGCGCGACGACATGGCACCGCCGGGTCTTGAGCAGTACGCCTTTTACGACGCGAGCTGAGGATTCTTTTTCGTAGTGGCTATTTCACAATTATGTAGAGGTTTTAGCCATGCTGATCAAATATACTCATCCGCTCTTATGCCTGGATACGACGTTTTTGTAGATGTCGATTGTAATACCATGTCATGTTGGATATGCCCGAGACTGTCCCTAGGATCCTGTTTGAATTTTAGTGACGATGAACTTGTTCCGCTGACATAACTGGTCAGCCATTAATCCAGTAAGAGAGAAAAAAAAGGGGGGGGAACTTGGGCGTGTTGCATGAGTACGTAGGATTCTAGAACGCAGATACTCATGCGCGTCTGCTTGTTATGTAAGAGCATTCAAGCATTTCCCCGCCCCCCCCTCCTTGTCCCCGCCATCTTGGACATCCGCTTTAGGCTCTCCCCTCCTCCTTATTATATTTACCATTTCGCCTGAACATTCCCCATTCGCTTCCTTATTATTTATTAGAGAGAGAGAGAGAGACCTATCCATATCCATGCCCCTCGCAAATAAACAAACAAACAAACAAGAAAACAAGAAAACTCTCCCACCCATGCCAAGTAGTCCGCCTTACTACATAGCACCAAGTAGCACTAAACAGTAGCTTCTGAATATATACATACTTCTTCCAGCCTTGTCCTCCGTGTATATCCGTATTCCCTTGGCCTATCCCCCCCCTCCCCCTCCTCCTCCTCCTCCTCTCTCTCTCTTTTTCTTTCTTTCTTTCTTTCTTTCTGTCCATCTATCTGTATACCAGTCTAGCCTAGCCTAGCCTACACTGCCCTGTACTCTACTGTACTGTACTGTAAGTACCTCCTCTTATTCCGTATTGTACGAGGGCCCACACGCGAGCAAATGAGCGAGAGATCCGGAACTTCTTTTTCTTCTTCTTTTTTTTCTTCTTTTTTTCTTTTTTTCTTCTCCCATGTCTGGGTAGCTTTATGTACTGAGTTAGTTAGTTAGTTAGTCCGTTTGTGTATGGAGAGGAAAGGACTTGAGAACGAGATACCGAGTCTTTGTTTTGAAACGGAAAAAATAATATGGATGAATGTATGTACATCAATGCTTCTCCGCATTATTTTGTTTTCTTCTTGCTTCCTCTCTCTCTCTCTCTCTCCTCCCCCCCTTCTTCGCTGTTTTTTTTACTGTACTAGGAGTGTATTGCTCTTTGGGTTTTTGGATCTTTGTTTGGGTCTGTAGCTGCAGAATATGGGCTGTAACTGCGACTCTCGCTCCATTTACTTTCTGCATTTGGTATTCAGGTCAAGTAGTTTTTCTCTTCATTCCCCTCTGTTTTTTCCTCTACTCTGAATTTTTACTTTTATATACCATATCGACTTGCCAAGTACAGCTTCTTCTTCTTCTTCCCCCCTTGTTCCCATCTTTCCCCTGCCTTCCTTCTCCTTCTTCTTCTTCTTCCCCTTCTTTTTTTTCTTCTTTTCTACATCTTTTCTTTTTTCTTGTTTCCACATTCCCACATTTCCACTTGCATTTTCGGCTCGAAAAGATGCCAAGTTTGTCATGATCCAGGGCCCGCCGCCCTTATTTACTTATTTCCCCCCCCCCCCCCCTTTTTCTTCCTTGCTTCTTCATTCTTTTCCTTTGCTTTCCTTTACTTGACCTTGACTTTGTTTATTATTATTTTTTCTCTCTCTCTGTATGTGTGTGTGTGTGTGTGTGTGTAGTTTCTCAAATGGCAAGAAAAAAAAAGATCAAGAGGAAGAAACCAAGGAAGAATTTCAGGAGAATACAAAGTACATAATAGCATTAATCACTATATCGCTATATGAGTCTACACAAATCTACTTGCATCGATGCTGCGTTGCAGCGGAGGGGGGGGGGGGGGGG